CGGCCGGCAGAGATCAAGGCAGACCTGGTTCTGGTTTCCCCTGCCCTTGAGAGAGCTTCTGTCTGCATCTCAGGATCTCGGAAGCAGGGCTGCAAAGGTCAAGCGTTCCCAGAGTGGTGGTGTCTAGCAAGAGACCTGGCTTCATAGCCACCTCCCCCGCCCCAGATTTCAGTGCCTTTGGGGTGACTGAGGGTGAAACACTGCAGAGCCAGCTTGCACCGTACCCTTCCCCACTGCCCCCCATCTCTCTTGACCCCATCACTTGTTCCCGTCCCCAGGGCTGGGAATGCCTCCTTCCTTCCAGGGCCAGGAGAAGTCTGAGTTTCGCTTGGTGACTTTTGAACTTTTCAAGCAGAACTCAGAAGAGCAATGCAGACCCTGCAGAAAGCCCCCCGGGGTGCCGGTGACTCGCTCAGGTGCTAGCAGTCAGGCTCAGTGCCCTGGAGCAGGGGCGATGGGAAGGGATCTACCTGACCTGCACCAGCCTGGGAGCACTGAAGCAGAATCTCCCGGCTGAGTGGAGTGGGAGCGGTGTGTCCCAGAAAGCCACGAGTGGAGCGCGCAAGTCCTCATCATGGGACAGAGAGGAGGCAAAGGGGTGGAAGACCCACCCCAGGGGCAGGTGCTAAATGCCCTCGTGGTTCATCAGCACTTGGGGATCCAGGTGGATGAAAGCACCCTGGGTACGCAGCCCTGCAGCAAGGGACTGCCTCTGCCTGGAGCACAGGTGGTGAGCAGGATGGTAGAGGCTACGCGAGCAAAATAACAGGCACCCTGGACTTCTCTCTCTGTCCCGACACCGACTCCTTGCCCGGGCTGGAGCAAGGCACTTTGCCCCTCCTGGGGTTGGCCTCCGTGTCTCACAGGCAGCCAGGGTACATGGTGTTTCTGCTCCACTGCCCCTGCCCTGCCCTGGGCGGAGGGTGCTAGGAGGGTGATGCTGGGTCAGGTTGTGAGGTCCATGCTGCCTAACACCTCTCCTGTTCCGGGGGAAGTCTCGGCAGCAGGAACACAAGGGGCCTCTTCACCCTCGGTGCTGCCTGAGAAGCTTGAAAGGAGCAAAGTGGGGCAAAGAACCTGCCCCTGCACTGTCTCAGGGGCTGCAGAGCTCCAGGGACTGGGGAGGGAGGCTGGGCAGGTCCCTCACACCCAGGCCTCAGTGCTGACATCCAATAAACCTGGAGACAAGGGTCCTGGGACCTGATCTACATGAACCCAGCTGTCCTCCCTGCTCTGCCAGGGTGGCAGCCCCATCCGTGGGTGACAGGAGGCACCACTGCCACAGGGAAGCTGCCAGAGCATGTGTGCAGATGTGCCCACGTTTTCCGCTGGCAGCCGCAGACTCACTAACAGCTGGTACCTCCTTCCAGCAGAGCCAGCTGTCATGGGGTGAAGCCCATAGGCAGCCCTTCTGCCCAGGCTGGGGGGGGGGGGCCTTGGGCACATCTGCAGGTGGTCTGCATGCTTGTGCACAGGCAAGCAGGGGTCCCTGGTGCCATGGCTGGCTGCATGCAGCCTGCTCCACAGCTGCACTGGTACCTGGGGTGCTGCCTGCCAGGTAGTTCCCCACTCAAGTGCCTCCGGACGATGGAAGAAGGATCCTCGCAGCTCTAGCTCTGCAAGGGACCCACACAGGCCTCTCTGAAGCATCTTCCAGCCCCACTGGCCTGGGATTTTGTATGCCTCCAGCCCCAGCCATGACCGCATCTTCTGCCAGCTCCTGCTTGGTTCTTCCCCATAGCGCATAAACGACGCTGCAGCCACGGACGTCCGCAAGAGGCCAGGCCTTCAAAGGGCGACAGCTTTAACTGCACCAACGAAGCAGCTGGGATAAGACGGGATGAGCTTTGGGATGCGAGACAGTCTCCGTCAGCTCTCCCCGTGCCACCCTGCACGAGGCCGAAGCCTCCGGTCCCGAGGAAGACCTCCTCTCCCGCGCCCGCGCCTCCCGCTCTATCCCACCCACCTCGCCTGCCCAGTAAAGGCCGTGGGCCTGCCAAAGCCTCGCCGCTCGCATGTGTCTGCCCTGCCTGCGGGCCCTGAGCCCTGCTACTCCTGCGGCCCCGCCAGCACGGCAGCGTCTCCTGTTGTTTCCCATCCGGGAGAGACACGAGGGGGGTGGCGGGGGCCGGGGCAGGGCTGCGGGGCAGCGGGGTGGCGGGGCAGAGCTGGCACCGGCCAGGGGAGGCTGGGTCGGGCCAGGGCCG